TTCTTCCAATAGTTCTAATAAGTCATCATCAAATGTATAACCATTTTWCATTATTGATACTATTGAGTCATTCTCTCATCATTTACATCTACAATAAATTTTGGTATAAGTTGACTCAAAATTGTTACTGTCTGGTTTTATTTACTTAAAAACCGTAACTTTAAATCTTCTAACACATTTTCCACCAATGGTATAAATAGAGACACCCTATAAAAATCTTCTGTAGTTTCAGATAGGTTAGGTTAGACGTTGAGTTTGACGTTTAGATAACCTTGGAGTTTTTACTTCAATTTCAGTTTTTCATTAATGAACAGCTCTCTTCAAATATTTGCTTAAATACTGTATCACAATTTGTACACATATTTTCCAAAATAGTTACTACATTTTGAATACATTCAAATGCAGCTAATACATCATTGTCAATGCCTTGAAGTATTCTGCTTATAGGAGCTGTTACACATRATATGTTAGATAAGGCATTAATTGAAATTATAAATTCACATGTACACATAGCTGTTAAAAGAGTTTTGGCTTTAGATGATGAATCTAATTCATTCCATTCTGATATATTGGTCAGGGCTTATATTATGTCAGACATTGAAGATTTAAAAATTGCTATGCTATCATGGCGGTCCGTCCATCTCGTTTCACATAGACTTTTTAAGTGAGGTTTTCCATTTAAAATTAATTTTAGAACAAAGTTTCTTTTTGCAGACATATTAAAAAATGAAACAATTTCTTTTACAAGGCCAACACTATTTCTTATACTTTGAACTGTTGATGATTTGGAAATGAAAATCTAAAATATTACCTTCTTCACGATGCCCTCTAAATGGTATATTTTGGCGACCAAGGAATACAATGGATTGTATTATTGGTATTAGTCTTTTTCGATTTTCAAGAACTTGACATAATCTTTCATTGTTTATTAAATTAATCACATCTTTTTTTGGATTAATAAGAGTTTTCAAAAAATCATCAGCAATTTGTATGGCATTTATATGATACTTATTATTGTTGTGCACCTCTAAGTCTCCATCTTTCCCAGTTAGGTTTGAAAATTTAGTAAGTGGTTCAGTAACAAATTTTTTTAAAGTTATTGTGTTATACTTACCACCTTTGACARTAAATAAAACACAATATTTGCAKAATAAACCAGATTTTAAGTTAGAATATGTCAGCCATTTGTATTGTTCGAAATGGTTTATTCTCAATGATCTCTTAATACTTTTACCGTTTCTGATATTCAAAGTAAACGGATAAATAAAATCATTTGAAGGTATGTTATCCATATTGATAATTTTAGCCTTTACATGATCAGTTAATAAGCTATCAGATGTCCTTAAAAAATTACCTATGTCTACACTGTATATATCACTAGTTACTAGTTAGTGGCTGTCGGCTCATTATTGATTGGAAATGTTGTTGATGATTCTTTTGTATGATTATCCAGAGGACAGTTGACATTTGTACTGTTATTGTCAGATGTACAATTTTTTTTAGATTTCAATTCTGAATTGTCATCAATGACATCAACAGAACGTTTTGCACCTTTTTTCAACACCCATTGGGTTAGTTGCTTCTGCACATTTGATTTTGACATATTAACGTACGAAACAAATAATACGAAATTTAAATAACAGATGAACAGAATCAACTATTAACTACAGTATTGTATATTAACTATAAARTATAAAATAATATTATTAACTATTATCACAGAATATTGATAATTGATATTGATTACAACTATTTTTCTTTATTATCTATGATTGTAAGCTAATCTAAGACCGTGATTGTAACACAGAACATCGTACCTATGTTAGAAACGGTTTCTATTGTAGTTTCAAAACCGGGTACCGTATATTTGGTTGGAACGCATGAATGCATGATAGGCGAGCATAGATTAGTAATAGTAAGCCTAGTCATAATACGCAATACGCATAATAATGAAATTTGACATTTAATAATAATTCAGTGCTAACGTATTTTGCGTAAACAAAAGTCTCGGGGGAGGCAAATGCCCCTGTTGCCCCCCCCCTCAAATACGCCACTGGGTAAACATTAGATTGTTATAAGCAAAAGTTAATAACTTATAAATTTAACTAGTTGATAANATTGCACAGACAAAATTCTCGTTTTTATGTGATGAAAATTTCGTTTCTTAGTTATAACTGTATCTTTCTCGGTTMTTTCCCGCGCGAAACAGTTTTTGCAATGTTACACACTTTTAAGACAGAGACAACACATGCGGGTGAAACGTCCTCTTAATATTTTCTATTAGGAAAATTCTGTGGTAAAGAGCCAGAAGCTGATATCTGAAAAATGCTAATTTTTCAGAACAAGCGTTTTTAGTTTTTTAAAAACTGAAAATTAACTAAATGTTGAGTTTCAGCTTGCACTTTTAGAGAAAATATGTTTTTTTTTTTCATTGCAAATTCATTATTTTAAGTAATATTTTGCTCGTAAAATAAATTATATGTCATAATTTGATTAATTAATAATTAATCAAAAAAAACATAATGCAGATATCAACTTTTGTCATAAACATTTTCTTGCAATAACAACATAACATATTATTATAATATTACATCTTGTAAATTGTATTTTTATAGTAAAGAAGTATATTAATATTATTAATAATGTATTATAATTAATAGAATTTTTAAAAAGAATATAAAACATTTTCTTATAAATAGTAAAAAATTATTCAAAATCAATCTTAAAAACTTGATAACAGCTCTTGTGTTAAAACACTAATATAAAGTATAATAACTAAAATAAAAAACATAACATTTACTTTAAAATAAATTTAACAAATTAATATAGGTAACACAAATTATTCAGATTCAGTCTTTGAGTCTTCGGATACTGTTTTAGTTTTTAATGATTTATAAAATGAATGATAAATTGGATCTATTAATGGAAGAAGGATTAGTAGACCATTCTTTTTCTCAACTTGAATAGRTAAAGGACAGTTATAGGTATTTGGCAAATTTAAATTAGATGCTCCATTAGTAGTTAACTCAGTCCTAAATCTTGTTTTAATCGCACCTTTCCAGTCTGCACAAGCCACAAATACTGTAAATGGTACTGTAACCCGACTACCCGAGACCTGAGTGCAGAGTATATACCTAATAGTACCTATTAGTATTAAACGTACGTTATAAATATTTTTATATTTCTGCAATAGTGCGACATAATGGCGTCCGAAACTGGAACGTTTTTAAATTATATCCTGTCTGACGGCGAACAAATATTTTCCGAAGACAGATCCCATATACTTTGCAATGCGATAATTCAAGGTAAATATAATAAAGAGTAATACTATTTACAATTTCAAAACAATGCTTACATTATTTAATTTAAACCTATATCAATCATATAATTTTGATTGAAAATATATGGAATAAATTAAAATGTTGATTTGATCTACTAGAGTTCCAGGCCAAATCCACCTATAATGTAAACATTGTTTAACTATGTATTTGTATAATTTAACAAATTGAACATATCATGACAGATACAAATACATTTAGTTTATATATGTTATTAATTATTATAGACAAAGAATATGAAATGTGGGTACCAATATCATCTTTGGTAGATGGATTGAATGAAGATTTTAATTCTAATGATGAAAAACTGTCAGATAATGGTAAATTTATAAAATTGTAATTTAATTTGTTTAGTTTGATAAGTCAATGAAAAAATATTAAAACTTAAGTATATGGTCTTTACATTTATAATTTTAATTTTGTAGAGATAAGCATTACTACTGATGAAATATGGTGTTCACATAAGCCCAAACCTCAAGATATAAAAGCTACTGAAGATCTTTTGAATATAATCAAGCTTGAAAGTATTCAAAAACTGCTACTGGATAAAAAAAACACCAAAGTATAAAGTATGGGAAAAAATAGCCTTAAAACTCCAAGAAGATCATGGGTATGTGGTAGGTAAATCTTTAAAAGATAGCGGAATGAAATGCCACCAAAAATGGAGAAATTTAGAAAAAGCATATATGGCTTTTATTCAAAATAGTAAAAAAAAACAGGAACAGGAAACATCAAAACTCCAGCATACTTTGACTTACTTCATTCCATATTAGGTAGTAAGCATAAAGTAAAACCAGCCATCTTACTAGATACTTTAGAAATAGATAACTCAGTATTTGAAGAAACTCTTGCAGAAATACCACTAAGCATTGAACAAGTCCCAGTAGAGAAGAAGAAAATATTATCTGATGATGAAGATATTAATACCGAAACAAGTTCTTCTCATTTCAAAACAATCAAAACTTCTACTAAACCAAAAAACTTAAAAAAAGAACTTATTGATGAAATAAGAACACAACATCAAGAAGATATGGCAATGCAACATAAATTAATTCAAGTATTCGAAAAATCAGTCGAAGAACAAAAAGAGCAATGTCTTATTTTGAATAACGCTTTACTAGCTATTGTAGAAACTTTAAAAAAACAGTAAATTCTACAAATCACTTATATATTATTATATTATTAAGTTTAAGGTTTTATTTTCATTTGATCTTAAAGTATACTATTGTATGAAGTTACATATTTAATTTTTATATTTGTTG